TATTTCCCCCCAAAAGAAGCCACTTGAGGCTCTGTTTTTATTCGCCGTCATCCTTTTCTGATGGATATTCACTTTCTCCTGACAATATCTCAGAATTATACTTTGTTTGTAGCCCAGGAGAGAATGGAAATGATTATATGTAAAAAAAATGATAAATAATAAGTGAAATGATCTTTTGCTGTGGTTATGCTGACAACAAGGGGAAAACGTCGGTGGGAAAACAATTGACTTATTGCCACTTTAAATGATGAATCTCATTCCCAAACAACAATTGGAGAATTTCTCCTCCTCCTTCAAAAGAAAAAAGACTAGTGAAAAGATCTACTCCCTTCGTTCATTTTCTGCCCAAAAATAGAGTGGAAGATTTGGTGAATCCATTTGTGTTTCACTCAAGTGTAATTTCATGGCACACAAGTGTCACCTGTGAATGAGCGCGATGGCTTAGCAGTCAAAGATGCTGAGCTTGTCAGTTAGAAAGCCGACAACCCGGATTCAAGACCCAAGCGCTGCGTGATGGGGTGAGCTCCTGTTACTTGCTCCAGCTCCAGCTTACCTTGTAGTTAGAAAGCATGCAAATGCAAGTAGATAAATAGGTTCACTTGGGTGGGAAGGTAAGAACATTCCATGCATCTTGGCATTTAGTCATGCTGGCCACATGACCATGGAAATGTCTTCAGACAACACTCTCCCTCAGCTAAGAAACGGAGATGAGCACCACCCCCTAGAGCAGTGGTGGTGAACCTATGTCACGGGTGCCAGAGGCAGCACTAGGAGCCCTCTCTGTGGGCACACATGCCGTTGCCCCAGCCTTGCCTCTCCCCGTGACCCCCTCCTCACCAGCAGCCTCCCTGGAGGAGAGTCGCCCCCCGAGCGTGGCCCACGCGGAGCAGCGCAGCCAAGGACATGGCAGCCAGGCAGTGTAGACAAGACTCTGCCCTCATGCCCCAACACACACAGTTGATGCTGTGGGGTGCGGGCAGAGGGCGTGGCCACCATGGCACTGCTGGGCTGCCTGGGCGATCTGCGGCGGGCCCTGGAGGTAGTGAGTGGCCCTGCGGGCAGGCGGGGTGGGGGCGTGGCAGGGGTGGAGTGGGGCCGGGGCCGGTTTTTGGGCATTCGGTCTCTAAAAGGTTTGCCATCACTGCCCTAGAGTGAGACACAATTGGAGAGGGGAAACCTTTACCTTTTTAACCTAATCTGGGAACCACCAGATATGCAAAATCTTAACTGGAATTACTCAACTTAACTTTCCTGTCCTAACTTTCCCAACCCAACTTGAGATTGCCAGATTGGGTCAAGGTTGCATTGATAGAGGTTTTGACTCTACCCATCTGGAGCCTCCTTGCGGTACGTCCCAAAGGTCCTTTTTCAGGAGGCCACTGGACTTTCTTGCGGGTTTTTTTTTTAAAGATGCTTCGCTTTTCATCCAAGAAATATTTTCAACTCTGACTGGATGGTGGGGAATGGAAGGATTTATATTCCTTGCAGACAGCTGGTCATTTGCATTCTTTTAGAGAGTCGTTGAGGCCACTTGGAGGTTTACCTGTGTCGTCAGGGTCACCTGAGTGGTGCAGATGTGTGTGGAGCCTTCTTGGCTGCGGGATGTTTTCTGTCCTGTGTCCCTTCCCTGTTGAAGACAAGCATAGGCTGCTGGGGATGAGTCTGTATTGTCTGCATCTCAAACTGAAGCGCAAATGGTTCCTGTAGTCTGCCATGTTTTCTGGAAATCCATTCATACTCCCACACCATTCGAAGAGTGTTTATCCCAAAGTGCATAGCTAAATGTCCATGGAGATTCTCGGTCATCCAGGTCACGGTTGTCCCAAAGGTGCTTTTTTCAGGAGGCAACTGGACTTTCTTGTTTTTCCTTGAAGACGTTTTGCTTCTCATCCACTGAAGAAGCTTCTTGGATGAGAAGCGCAAGGTCTTCAAAGAAAAACCAGAAAGTCCAGTTGCCTCCTGAAAAAAGACACCTTTGGGCCAACTGTGACCTGGATGACTGAGAATATCCATAGTCGTTATGGTGTGGTTTTTAAAGTGTTTGTGTTGAAATGCTATTTTTTTGTACTACAGTGACCCCTGGAAGAACCAACGTACCCACCTGGAACAAGCTGTAGTAATCATCCTCATCCTGGCCTTCACCCATCAACTCCATCTTCATCTTCATGGTCATCTTCATCTTCAGTTTCTTATTTGAATTCTGTATAAGGTAGTCCTCCTTGATCCTACCTACGCCAGTTGGCTTTCTCCAAAATCACAATTTTCACCAGCTTGAGTCATGATCGAATAGTCTTGTCCAGGGGTAGGCAACCTTGGCTCTTTTATGACTCGTGGACTTCAACTCCCAGAATTCCTGAGCCAGCATGGCTGGCTCAGGAATTCTGGGAGTTGAAGTCCACGAGTCATAAAAGAGCCAAGGTTGCCTACCCCTGGTCTTGTCAAACTTTGTATAGGGATCAGTATAGATTTTGCAAATATGCTCAGCTTATAGTTAAAATATTCAGGTGGTGGTCATGTTCCCATGAAGTGCATCATCTAGTGATGCTTACTTGTTCCAGTGTTCAAAATAAGGCTGAGTCTTTTCCTTCAGTTCTTCCACTCAACGCACAGAAAAAAAAAAAAAAACAGCTAAGAGTCCCAAACATTTTGTCTAGGCACAAAACCTTTGGAAACTCAGCTATGGTTACAGGTTCTCCACATTATAGGTAGTTCTCAATTTACAACAGTTCATTTAGTGACCGTTTCAAGTTACAACAGCACTGAAAAATGTAACTGACGACCTTTGCAGCATTTCACAGTTACAACCTTTGCAGCATCCGTATGATCATGGGATCAAAATTCAAATGTTTGGCAACTGGTTCATATTTATGACGCTGCAGTGTCCCGGGGTCATATAATCACCTTTTATGATCTTCTGACGAGCAAAGTCAATGGGAAAGTCAGATTCACTTAACAACCGGGTTGCTGACTTAACAACTACAACAATTCACTTAACAACTGCGGCAAGAAAGGTCGCCAAATGGGACAAAACTCACTTACGTGTCACTTAACAACAGAAATTTTGGGCTCAATTGTGGTCTTAAGTCGAGGATTACCTGTATACCAATGAAAGGAGTTTAGATGTTGGTAGAGGGCAAAAGTGTCCTACGTTTTCCCGTATCCATGAAATCCAAAATTCGATCATCTCTCTTCCAACCGGTGCCTCCACATAGACTTTGGTGCTGATGTAGCTCATTTCCTGCCATTGTTTTTACTGCCCCAATAAACTGTCAGAGATTTGGACAAATAGTTGCTCAGTTATATTATTTTCATCATACGTTGTTGCTTTGTTGGACAAAATTGTCTTCCAGTAATTGCAGGATTTTTCATTGGTGGGTGAAGTACGGTAATCCCTCTTACATCATTCCGTGTGATTTGTGTGGGGGATCAGCCAGGGATTCCAATGAAGGTTCAGTTGCAGAAGTTTCTGCTAAAATTCAGCAGTACAATAATTTATCGATAAATAGGATAGGTATGTTCCAGTGAAGAGATACATAAGAACAAATTGAAGGAGCATCTCCTAAATTAGACGTGGGAACCAATCTTCTTTCTTTCATGTCTGCCTGCCTTTTTAGGACCCCTACACTTTTGTGGCAATTTGAGAAAAGCCACATTCCAAGGGTGAATAAGAACAAAGGCAGAAATATTTAAAATGCATGTTTTCTTCTTTTTTCCCCTTACACACTGTCTCTTGTCTTTCTCCTTTCCCCCCTATTTTCTATCTATTAGTCTCTCTCTAGCTCTCTTTTTCTTTCTTTCTTTCTTTCTTTCTTTCTTTCTTTCTTTCTTTCTTTCTTTCTTTCTTTCTTTCTTTCTTTCCTTCCCTCCCTCCCTCTCTCCCTCCCTCCCTCCCTCCCTCTCTGACATGGTCTGGCTCTTGCTAATACTAATCCAAAAGCAATTTGCAACACAGAATGAAAAAAAAGCAATAGAAAAGTACAGGTAGTTCTCAACTTACGACCAAAATTGTGCCCAAAATTTCTGTTGTTAAGCAAGACAGTTTTTTTGCCACAGTGGTTAAGTGAATCACTGTAGTTGTTAAGTTAATAACACGATTGTTAAGCTGATCTGGTTTCCCCATTGACTATACTTGTCAGAAGACCACATGACCTAGGGACACTGCAACCATCATAAATATGAATTAGTTGTCAAACATCTGAATTTTGATCATGTGACCATGAGGATGCTGCAACAGTCCTAAGTGTGAAAAATGGTCATAAGTCACCTTTTTTAGTGTCATTGTAACTTAGAACAGTCACTAAATGAACTGCTGTGAGTTGAGGACTTCCTGTACCCTCAAAGACATTTAAATTCAATAAAGAAATAAGATAATACAGTTTCAGTAAAACCACAGTCGAAGGTATAATTTCCAGCATTTTAAGTGTGATCTTCTTCCAGTGAAATCAAGTAAAACATCTTCAACCAGTAACTTTCAGCCAGATGGGCTGGAAATTCTGGAAATTGTAATTTCAATACATCTGAAAGCTGTAAGTCTAGAGAAGACTAATATGGTCAAGGAAGAGTGCATATTTTTGGAGAGTCTTTTTCTTTGCTGAATAAACGTGATGTTCAGACAGGTTACTGTAGGAGGACACAATCCTTAAGAATAACTTAAAACATGCAAAATATTATGGTACAAAACTAAAACTTTGAATCTGGCTCTAAAGTGAATCAATAACCAATGATTTTATGTTAAAAATAGGGGCAGGATTTTGATGGAAGTATATTGTTGGTAATTCATCAAACCATGCTTGTTAATGAAATAGCTGCAAGAGAAAAAAAAATAAGCTTGCCAAGAACCCAACAATTCAACCTGAGCTACGTGTATTCTCCACTGCTACAAGTTTGAGCTTCCAAAAAGGTTTTCAAGAGCAGCTTAATCTGCAAATTTATAACATTCCAAGACAAATTATCTATCAGATTATTTCACAAATTTACAAGCTCATGTGAGTTATAAAAACATGAGTTTCATCACAGGGAAAAGAGAACCTAGCCAAATCCAGAAGACATATGAAACCATTCCTAAAACAGACTTTTTGTGAGAATATACCACAAACATCTCAAGATGGCTTCAGTCAGTTCCACAGCAAAGGTCCAGCATTTCATATATATTTAAATGGTATAATGGCCTACATTCCCAGAAGTAAAAAAAGAAAAAAAAAACGGGTGGCACCAGATCAAAAATTTCAAACAAACTCCATAACCCAGTCAGCAATTACCCCGAAAAGTTGAGTGACCCTGGAATTAAACCCTTGCAAAATACTGAATTGTACAATCATAATGCTAAATCCTATGAGAAATCATAATCAACATTCCGGGAGCCATCCACAACCAATAAATTAACAAATCCAGCTTATGAACTAGCCACTATGCTTTACAAGAATACTCTTCTAGTCTTCATTTCAAATTGTTAATTTAATTCGTTCTAGGCTTGTTGCCTTAGTTGTGGAATAATTGTATAAGACCTCGGCAGGTACGTACGGTCTGAAACAGGTTGCAAACAATTCTAGGTCCAGATTTTCAGTCTGATGCTTTCCAACTGATACCTCTGGTTGATCTAATTTGGCTGGTGACTCTTCCTCTGAATTGGAATATGAGCTGCTATCCAGGATAACAGCCCAAAACTCAACTCACTTCCAATGAGGACATAAACAATTTAAACTTGAAGGAACCCTAAGACTGTTGCATGCACTTAGTCTAAGAATAAAAGTTGTCTTTTCTGCCTTCTTTGTCTGCTCCATAGCCCTTGTTAACTTCAGATGCCCTGGTTATTGCCAAGAATATATTCCAGTAATTCCCTTTCATGGTTCAAAGGAGACTTCTCCCTACAAAAACATTTCTCTTTTTATTTTTATTTTTATCTCTGCAGTGATGGCTGGGCAGACAGGTATGATGTGACAGAAGGCTACCAGCGTGAAGCTGCTGGTGGAATAACAATCAAGCTTCAGTCTCCTGGTGTGAAGTGGTTTGATGAATATTACCTGAAACTTCAGCCAGAAACCAATCAGCGAAATCCATGGTTTCAGGAATTTTGGCAGCACCGGTTCCAGTGCCGACTGAAGGGGTCCCCTCAGGAGAACCCCAAATTCAACAAGACCTGCACCAGTAAGTCTTCTGAACCTTACATCTTTATGTAATTGAAAGCAATCATTGTCCAGTTGTTGTCCAAATAGTTCATTATATCCAGGACTAATTTATTATTTCTAATTTACATTAGAAAAAAAGAGTTTATCTTGCAGGATTCAATCTGAGTCAGTCACCGAGGCCAGAGGTTTAGTCTTCCAAGCTTTTGGACTCATGATGGAGCCCACCCTCAGGGAATTGGGCTGTTCTGTGTGTCGTATTTATGTGATGCCTGGTTGTGTGTGACACTTAGTTATAAATTGGGGTGTTGATGGCCAACTATTCAGTCATTGTAAGTCTATACATATGTTGTATATAGTATGTTTTAAATGTGTGTTATGTATGTGTACACTTTGAAAGAAAGCAACTAAATTCCATTTTTTTAATGTGTGCCATTGTGCCCACAGGAAAAAATGACAATAAAGGTTATCTAATCTAATCATTGGTTGCTGTTTCCTGTGCTGCCACATATTTAGGTACTTAGCAGCAAAGACACGGCAGCACAAGGAAACAACAACCAGTGACTTAATAGGCAGCCATCAATGCCCCAATTAACAACTAAAAGCCACACACAACCAGGCATCACATATAGTGTTTCCCCAAAAATAAGACCGGGTCTTATTTTCAGGGTAGGCCTTATCTCACCATCGGCACCAACAGCCCCACCCAGCCAGTCCACTTCTTCTGGGGCAAAAGTTCTGCAGCTGCATTCGGGCCTGTATTTTGCAGTCAGGCCTTTCCAGAAGGCCTAGGCAGCCGAGTACCAGATTCTTGGCTGCACAGGCCTTCTGGAAAGCCCCGTGACTGAGAAATGCAGGCCTGGCTGCAGAAGAGGCCTCAGAAGAAGTGGGCCAGTGAGGAGAGGCCTGACTACAAGGTAAATGGATGGATGACGGGTGGGGCAGTTCCACACCCCCACCCCCACCCTAGCTTGATTTTTAAGTGTGTGCCTCGCCGCAAACCTAGGGCTTATTTTTGGGGTAGGGCTTGTATTAGGCCCACCCACAAATATCAAGCTAGGGCTTATTTTCGGGGTAGGCCTTACTTTTGGGAAAACATGGGTACAATACAAAGAACAACCCAATGCACACATACTGGAGAGAGAAGTTCCTTGAGGATGGGTCCCAGCATGAGCCCAAAAGCTTGAAAGACTAAACCTCTGGACCCAGTGACCGACTCAGATTGAATCCTGCAAATTTATACTGGGACATGTATATTTGCCTTCATTCAAAAGAGCTTACCCGGATGAACATACTGCTCCTGCTTTTAAATATTGTCTGTTGCAATGAGTTAGAGAAAATGGAAGTGACCATTTCAAATTATGATTTATAGATTAAATAAGCTGGTTATTCTATTTGGTTGATTCCTTTCCTAAGCCAGATCAAGGTGCGCTAGTGAAAAATACACAAAATCTGTAGAACTGTTCTTGTTTTTAAAGCTACAGATTTTGTGGTTACATAGAGCATTTATGATAAATGCAGTGTCAGATTATATTGCATTATTGGACAACCTGTGACCCATGGGTCTTCCTTTCAGAGATATTTCCTTATCTAAACAGAAAAAATAGAATGGCCATTTTATTAAAGAAGAAAGACGTGTAGCAAAAGAAATATAGATATTTTTCATTTAACAAAAGACACTTTTGATAACAATACTTGTGGTTGATGTGCCATTCTTTAGGAATACTGTAATGTTTTCATTTCTTTTTCCTTGGCTTAAAGCAAGGTACAGCTGACTATGTTGAAATATCAGTTTCTCCAGCGAAAACAGCACCTTTTCCATGGGTTGTCCTTGTGCTTTGTGTGTAATGAAAACAAATATTATTTTGCTGTCTTTTAAATTGTTTAATTGTTTTACAGTTGTAGACTTGCAAGCCATCCAGAGTTACTTGATTGAATTGGGTGGCAATAAAATGAATGGATGAATAAAGGAATGAATGGAGGGAGGGAGGAAGGAAGGAAGGAAGGAAGGAAGGAAGGAGTGAGGAACTGTGTCTGCTGAAGAAGGATATCTTCACTTTCTGATAAACTGAGTGTAATTCTTGGAATCATAACTGTTAAATCCTTGGATTCAAATGACAGTTCAACAGGCATAGTGTGAACCAAAAGCTTCTTTAATGACTTAATTGTTCATTGCAGTAAACGGAGACTCACAGGCCTCCTGCTTCTCTTCTCTGCTTACAACCGGCTCTGAGAGCAACACAAACGGTCCGGGTAAACTCGTTACTGAGCGCGCGCTTTCCTGCGCAT